CCTGGGCGGGCGGGCGGCGCTCGCTTTGTTCCGCCGAGCAGGGCGGCGCCTGGGGTCGGAAAGTTCCGCGTGCCGGCTGGCAGCCCCGGGTCCGGCTTTACAGGCTGCGGGTAGCGGTGTCTATCCCTGTCCGCTTCCCCCTGGATGCGGCAAATTGCTTGGAACCCATTCAAGAGCTGACTTCCAGAAGACTGTGTGGGAGCTTGCTCCCCTTTGGGGCGCCTAGGTGGGGATGCGCACTGCGAGGGGCCGGGGAGGTGGGGGAGCCGAGAGTCAGGCCTGCTTGAGAAGCCCCGCATGGGCTGGACCCCCTCCGAGAAGCCACTTGGATAGCCGCGCGACCCCCTTTATCAATCAGATGAGTCCAAGTCATGCTACAGGGCGAAGATTGCCTCCTTCTGTTGTCCCTCCACGCAGGCCCGCGTGGGAGGCCTTCTGCAGTGTCCGCGAGTGGAGTGCTTGCACTAGGACATCCCAAAACAGAATGTCGGGGCCGTGGCAAGCTGCACAGTGCAGTGCACGGCACAACTGGTATTTATGAAAGTCAGCTGTCTTCTTGCACATCTTCCGCGTGCTGCAGGAGCCCAAGCATTGGAGCCCTCAGCTGCTGAACCAGACCCGTCAGCCGGGACACCGAGCAGCCCCGTCATGGGACCTGGCATGGCGGACAAGGGGCTTAACCCTATGGCCCCCTTCAACCCTCATAATTCATGTTGCTCGGCAACCCAAGCTTCCATCCTGGGTGTTTGGAAATCGGAGAGAATGAGGGCACCTTCATTTCGTGACAGTGGACCAAAAGAATGCGCAAGGACAGAGAATCCGGGGGCATAAGGCAATATTGTAAAATGTCTCTTTTCCTTATTATAAGTGACTATAAAACAACCTATAAAAATGTTACCAGTCGGTTTGAGTGGTGGCTTCATAGTTCTGTATTCTCCTTTCTGTCCACTCCCAAGACATACACGTGGGGGCACTGATAAATCTTAAGGCACAAGTTAGCAACTCTTTCACGGGGTTGCAAGCCATACTCTTTCCTTTTTCTTTACCTTGTCAAGGGTAGACAGATCTTCCATCTGCTGATTGACTCCCAAACACCTGCACCTGTGGTGGCTAAGTCAGGCCAGCGCCGAGCACCCAGACAATGGGGTCTCCCAAGAACTTAGCCCATCCTCTGGGCCTGCAAAAGTGCGCATTAGTGGGAAGCTGAACTTGGGAGCAGAACCGGGACTCGAACCCAGGTACTCTGCTACAGGATGCAGACAGCTCACCTAGCCACTGTGCCAACTGCCTGCCCGAGGTCACACTGTGTCTACCGCAGTTCTTTAACCTGCCACTCCATCAGCCACGAGCAACAGAATGGAACGGGCAGGGCAGTGTTTCAATAAAACTTTACAGTTGAATTTCATGTAATTCCCACACATCACAAGGCATTTTTGGTTTTTCATTAACTGCTTCAAAAGATAAAAAAAAAAAATCACTTTAGCTAGCAGACCATATATTAGAAAAACCAGCAAGTGGTGGCCAGGTTTAGCCCACAGGCAATGAATAGCAGAGCAGTCCTGCTTTATGAAGGAAACTGAAACGGCATCTTATCTTGCTGTTTGTAGAAACAGATGCTCCTGCTCGTTTCCTTCATGGTACTACACTGTCCGTGTTTATCACAAAACCTCGATGTACAAGGATGACATGCAGTGACGGCCGGTGGCAGGCGTGGTGGGCACCCAGTCCTTTTCAGTGTTGGATTGAGCTCCTGAGGTGCAAGGCAGCAGATGGCGGAGCAAGCGTTGAGTCCCTACCCCACGCCCCACGCAGCTCCCGCCTGCTGGCCGTGGCCTGGCCCAGCCCTGGCTGTTCTGGGCAACCGAAGAGGAAACCACAGATGGTACTCTCTGCCTTGCCCTGCCATTCTGCTTTTAAAAATACATACATAAATCTGCCTTTAAAAGCCAGTTAAGAAGGTGCCCATATGGAGCTGGCATGATGGCTCAACTGGCTAATCCTCCACCTGCAGGCATAAACATCCCATGTGGGTGCTGGTTCTAATCCCGGCAGCTCCACTTCCCATCCTGCTCCCTGCTTGTGGCCTGGGAAAGCAGTCGAGGACGGCCCAAAGCCTTGGGACTCTGCACCCGTGTGGGAGACCCAGAAGCAGCTCCGGGCTCCGGATCAGGTCAGCTCTAGCCATTACTACCTCTTGGGGACTGGAGCAGCAGATGGAAGATCTTCCTCTCTGTCTTTGTCTCCTCTGCCTGTAAATCTGCCTTTCCAATAAGGATAAATAAAAGATTTATTTATTTGAAAGGCCAAACAACAGAGAGAGCTCATCCATCCACTGGTTCACTTTCCAAAGGATTAAGCTGAAGTCAGGAGCCTGGAGCTTCCCCGTGGCCACCCACGTGGGTGCAGGAGCCCAAGCACTTGAATATGGGATGTCGATATCCCAAGTAACACCCTAAGCCATGGCACCACAATGTCGACCTCTGGGTCTTCTTTTGAAGAAAACAGTCTGGGGGGGGGGGGGGGCTGGAGATCTCACGGTGAGGATGGTGGCACCGAGTTCTGCGTGGCTGCTGTCTTCCTTTCTGAGCTCTTCATCACTGCCACATTGCACGTACCAAGCCTCAGCCACCCAGAGACACACTACTCTACACAGCTTCATTCGCTGGATCCTGCCCCGTGCCGCGGGACAGCAGAAAAATGCCGACCAAAAAAAGGCCTGAGACGTTTCCCCTTCAACGGCCATGAGATGAATGGGTCTGTGAGTTCCAAACACAAACAACATCATAAAAGGAGAAGCTGGCGAGGCGCAGTGGAGCAGGCTCTTCGCTTGCCATTGGTTGCATGTGCCAGGAAGAGCTGGGCTTTTGGAGCCTGAATTGCTGGCCTGCTGGGGGAGAGATGCGATGTAGCTTGCAGGCGTGAGAGGGGGCAGGTGTCGAGGCTCCTTGCATAGCGTCTGGCTCCCATGGGACACTGGCAGACAGCTAACATATTCAGTTAAGTGTTGGACAAACCAAAGAAGTATATTTCCAACCTATGGAAGCAGGCAGCTCCAGACTCATCAGGACAGAGTCCCAGCTCTGTGTGACCCACCAGATGTATAGGATCTTCACACTCACTGCCCTGGGCCTCAGTTTGTCCCTCTGTTAAATGGAATAAAAGCCACTGCCTAGATTTTAGGATTGCTGAACAATACAGGGTAAGAGCTTATCACAGGGCTTTCTGCCAATGCTGGCTCTCTCCCCACGCTCCCCGGCGCTGGAAACAACCCACAGCCTACAGGATAAGCAATGTCCACCACACACCCAGTTTTCACCTCCTTGAAGGATCCACCCTCCAGGATTATGGTGGAGAACAAATGCCTGGTGTTGGAGAAGCTTCACTTCCCTGCTCACCCGCCCTCTTCCCGTGCACCCGGATCACTGCTTCTCACAGCCCTGTGTTAAATCACCCACAGTGACAGCCTCGTGCAGTTACTGACTTTCAAGGACGTTAGCTGTCAGGCAGTTTCGGGGTCACTGATGATCCCACTTGTCCACGGCTCCCAGAAAAGATACAGGTGACACAGTCACAGATTTCCTCTGCCAGCTTCAGATCCAGGCTCTGCTCTGTGCCCAGGGACAGCCACCTGAGAGCAGGGACAGGCAGCTGCTTGCTAATGAGCAGCTAGTTCTGGGGGTACAGCTGAGAGCAGGGACGGGCAGGTAGACCTAGGGGTGCAGCTCAGCTTGCTAATGAGCAGCTAGTTCTGGGGGTACAGCTGAGAGCAGGGATGGGCAGGTAGACCTAGGGGTGCAGCTCAGCTTGCTAATGAGCAGCTAGTTCTGGGGGTACAGCTGAGAGCAGGGACGGGCAGGTAGACCTAGGGGTGCAGCTCAGCTTGCTAATGAGCAGCTAGTTCTGGGGGTACAGCTGAGAGCAGGGACGGGCAGGTAGCTCTGGGGATACACGTGAGGGCAGTGATAGGCAGGTAGCTCTGGGGGTGCAGCTGAGGATGGCAATGGCCAGGTAGCCTGGCAGCTCCCAACTGTGCCAAGCTCTGTGCTCCCAAGGGTGCTGGGACTTGGTCTCAGGCTCTGTTGTTGCTGTTTTTATATTTTTTAAAAAATGATTTATTTGGGGCCTGGCATGGCAGTCTAGTGACTAAAGTCCTCGTCTTGTACATGCCAATATCCCACATGTGAGTTGGTTTGTATCCCAGCTGCTCCACTTCCCATCCAGCTCCCAGTTTGTGACCTAAGAAAGCAGTCAAGGACGGCCCAAAGCCTTGGGACCCTGCACCCACGTGGGAGACCCAGAATAAGCTCCTGACTCCTGGCTTTGGATCAGCTCAGATCTAGCTTCTGTGGCAACTTGGGAAGTGAGCCAGTGGATGGAAGATCTTTCTGTGTCTCCTCTCTGTAAGTCTGATATGCCTTTCCAATATAAGTAAAACTTTTAAAAATAAAAATAGTTGATGATATAAAGTCAGTCCTTTCAAAGTGATTGAAATGTGCTTGTACAGTTCTTCTTTTCTGCATTAGAAAGGCAGCGAGATCTTCCAGTCGCTGTTTCAGTCCCCACGTACCCCTAAGAGCCAGAGCTTGGGAAAGCCAAAGCCAGCCTGGGGTCCAACGAACCTTAGCCAACAGTGGTGCCTCAGCACGTGCACATTGCCAGGAAGCTGGTCAGAAACAGAAGACCTGGGATTCAAACCAAGCACCCTGAGGTGGGATGCTGGCACCCCAAGTGGTGACCTCGCTGCTGTGCTGAATCTCTCGTCACTGGTTCCAAAGCTTACTGTCTGATAGGAACCAACAGGTGTTGGTCCCACACACCCAAGCACCATCTCAGATCCTCAAAGCGGGAAACTTCCAAGGGAAGATGTGTATCCTGTGAAAGTGGGCACCATCCCCCAGGGACCCCCGGTCCTCTGACGGCACCTGCCACACTCACATGCTGCTCGTACTCCGGCCACGCCGAGAGTGCACCATTTCTGAGAAAAATTCTGGACCGACTTGTTAGCCAAACAGCCTTTCATTAACAAACCGATGATGTCCCATGTGGCCACAAGGAGCGAAGAGGAAGAACAAGACAAGTGTGTCCTCAGAGCCACAAGGCAGACTGGCCAGAGGCACTTTACCAGCGAGGCGGACATTGTGTCATCAGCACAGGAAGCGGAGGAGCAAGTTCCAGGTCTGACGCTCTGTGCGGCAGCCGGGCGGCACATCGGGGCTAGATGTGGTTGATCAAGGGCACGGCGTGAGAGGGCAGCTCCTGGTGCAGCTGCCGGAAGAGCATGGCACAGCGGTTCCTCTCCTGTGTCTTCCCCAGCGCGTGGTAAAGTCTGGCCTGGAGGTAGCAGACGTCCCTGATACGCTCCTTGCTGTCGACCTTGGCAAAATAGTTCTTGGCTTCGTTCAGGTTCTCGATGGCGGCCTCCAGAGCTGGGGAAGGGAGACGGCACCTACAGTTAAACCAACACTCCACCCCGTTCTCAAAACTTGGTACCTAAGTGTAGTTGCTCAACATTGTACTGGAAACTTCTGCATCCTTTCCTACTTGAGAGAGGAAAAGGAACCCACTAAAATGAGATTTTTACCAAGGACCTACTCCATGGGGTTAAAATAACCATTGGTTGACCCTCAACCCTCTGGTCAGGCAGAGAAGCAAAAACACAGTAAATGCTGAACCAAAGTTTAAAATACACCTTAAAATTAAAACCAAGCCAAACCATATGCCCTTGAACACTCAGAACCTCAATGCGTCCCCCAGCGTCATGTCCCTCCTCTCCAGGTCCTCGCTTCCCGCACACCCACCACTTCCACACAGCTCCCTACCTTCTGCTTTCTTCACTGGCTCGTAGGAACCTGCCGAAGCCACCTGGCACTTGGCCACGAGGAGCATGGCTCGGCCCTTGTCCAGGATGGCCCCGTCGGCCAGGATGGGCTCGATGGCCATGTGGAGGAGGGTCAGGGCCTGCTCCGGGATGCCGAGGAGGAGCTGAAAGAGAAACATGACAGCGCGCTGTGTGCTCCCAGGCACCACACTCCTAGAAAACAAGACCCACTGGGACGGAGCGGGGGGCGGGGCTACACCACACTGAGGAAAGGTTTCCACCTTGACAGAAAGGCACAGTGTGCACCTCCTGAGATGGAGATTCCGAGGGGAGAACCAGCTATGTCGGGGTTGCTGGGGGAGGACCAGGAAGACCACAATGAAAAAGGATAAAGAGAGTTAGGATGACATAGAAAAGAATCATGGAAAAATGAAGAAAACCTAAAAAGGGCAGGTGGTTAGCCTAGTGGATAAGATGCTAATTACAGAGCCCAGTGCAATGACTCTAATGGCTAATCCTCCCCCTCCATGCTCCTGGATCCCATATGGGCGCTGGTTCTAAACCCGGCTGCTCCACTTCCCATCCAGCTCCCTGCTTGTGGCCTGGAAAAGCAGTAGAGGACGGCTCAAAGCCTTGGGACCTTGCACTTGTGTGGGAGACCCAGAAGGGAGATTCTAGCTCCTGGCTTCAGTTCAGTTCAGCTCTGGCTGTTGCAGCCATTTGGGAAAAAAGACGTCAATTACCATGCCCATGTAAGAGCTGACATGCACTGAAGATCACACTTATGTTGCTGGCATCCCACACTGGAGTACCAGGATCGAGTCCCAGCTACTCTATTTTCAATCCAGCTTCTTGCTAACATGCCTGGGAAGGCAGGCAAAAATTGCTCAAGTGGGAGACCAGGATGCAGGTTCCTGGCTCTTGGCTTTGGCATGTGGCAAGCACTTGGAATAAACCAGCAGGTAGGCTCCGTCTGTCTCTTCCACAATGACATTCTACCTTTTAAATAAATGAATAAATTATCAAATATTTAAAAACAATGCTCATGTATGCCATTAGCTTGCTGGGTGCGGCCTGGCAGGTGGCGATAAGGACTGCAGTGACATGGTTCATGCTACTCCGGTCAGAGACCTGAATTCAATTCCCAGTTCTCAGCCTTGGGCCTGGCCCAGCTGCAGCCACTGACAGCTGTCAATCAACAGACCAGAGCATTTCTGTCTCTTAAATAAAAACAAAAGAACTGAAGATAGAAAATACAGGAAACAGGTCTCAAAAGTCCTTCCATGAATTAAACGTGCCAATAAGAGACAACGGCACAATGGACTTAGAAACTATCCGAACGTATCAACAAGACTCCGTTTAGACTAAAAGATACAAACAGGCAGAAAGTCAACAGAGAGAAAAATGCTCTATCCAAACAGCAGCCCAGAGAGAGCAGTAATGTTTACACTAACATTAAACAAAATGAAGTTTAAGTCAAAATTTGCTACAAAAAGGGCTGGCATGTGGCATAATGGGTTAAGCTACTGCCTACAATGCCAGGAATCCCATGGGTGCCAGCCTGTACACAACTTCCAATCCAGCTCCCTGCCAATGCACCTGGGAAAGCAGTGGCAACTGGCTCAAGGATGGGGGCCCAGCCACCTGTGTGGGAGAGTCGGAGTTTCAAGTAGCCAGTTTCAGCTTGGCCCAGATCTGGCGGGCATGGCCACCTGGGGAAAACACGTGCAGACAGAAGATCTCTCTCCTTCTCTTTCTCCGTCCCCCATAACTTGGCCTTTAAAATTTTTCTTTTAAATCTTTGAAAGCAATAACGGTTGAATAGGACAGTTCAAAATTCCACTTTTCAATAATGGATAGAAAAAACACACGTGACTAGCAAAGAAACAGAAAATGTCAATGACATTACACACGAACTAAACCTAACAGGTACATGCACGGGACCCAACAATATCAGAACACAAATTATTCCCAAGCGCACATGAGAATTTTCCAGGACAGAGGAACACATTAAACCACAAAATCATATCCAACAAAATACAAGAATGAATATGAATTATTTCTTTGACTACACCGAATGGAATTAAAAATCAGTGCCACAAGGAAATTGGAAAATTCACAACGTAAGCAAATCCAGGAACACAGACTTGAATAACCAGTGGGTCAAAGACAGCATTACGAGAGAAAGTGCTCTTGGGTGTCTAGACAGTGGCTGTGAGACTGACGGCCACAACGCTCTGCGGCACTGCAAACGTGCACTCTCGGGCAGCGGCTGACAAGCCTGTGCTTAGGGCTCTTCCACCCACACGAAGACCCGTGCAAACTGCGGATGGTGGCTTAACGCACTGCAACACTAGTCCCTAAAATAATATTTATATTTATCATGTAATAGCCAGTTCAGAGAGTCTCCGCTTTGGTTAATCAATTCCATCAGTGAGTTAAAGTTGCCTCATCCGTTCAGTGTTTACTGAAGGCCTGCATAGCAGGGCCCACTAGCTTCCATAGGACACGGTCCCCTCCTTCACAGCCTTCACTTGGAGCACAAAGAAAACACATCTGGCTTCCAGTGATTCCCCGGCTTGCTCAGTTCCTTGGTCACAAAGCTGCTCAGCTCAATTAAGCCACACTGTGTGCCAGGGTCCTGCCCGACGAGGCACATGCCGGTCCTGGACACAGCCCAGGATAGCCGAGACCCTGAGAGGCGGCACTCGCCACCATCCCAACAGCTCCCTGCCTTCCAGGAGGGCATGACCCTACAGACTGACTCTCGAGATTCTCCATCATCCTCTTCAAGATGGACTCTGTGTGTGTCCTCAAGACAGAGATCCCCTTACCTGGGCAAAAGCCAAGTTGAGCACTGTTTCAGAGGCCAGGTACTGCAGCCGGTATTCCTTGGAGAGGGCCAGGGCATGCAGGAGCAAGGGCATCGCGATGGTCGGGGAGGAGGAGCGCCAGTACAGGCCTGCCACCGACAGCAGCACGCTGGGCACAGGGGGTGGAGGAGAAATGGGCATGAGCATCTCCACGGGCACCTGGCGGCGGCACACGCGCACGAGTCCTTACCTAATCACCATCTCCGTGTTCTTGAGCTTCTCGCAGTGACTCAGCAGCTTCTGCAGCAGCTTGTGCGCCTCGGACATCTGGTTCTGAGCTTGCAACACGACTGCTTTCCTGTGACAGAACACACACACGCAAGGTCACACTGACGCTGCACATCCCTGAGCCTTAACCTTAGGTGAGCATTTCTGTCTCCTCAATCGACTGGCAACACCTTGGGGTTAAAGGCAGAGGAGACACATCAGGCGTAGTTTCCTTAGCATGTTTAGGAAGCATGCACGTGTGCAAGGAAAGCCTGGAATTCTAGGCATCTGGAATTCTGTGATTATCTTGGAGAAATCTATTTTGTTTAGTATTTATAATTTCCTACTTACTAAAATAAACAAGAAAAATATTTTTCCTAAGCTAAAGTAAACAAACACATGTAAGAACATAATGAAAGGACACTGGAATGTGGGTTGGCGGAGTCGGGCTGGAGCTTGCAGAGCTGCCTACCTGTACACACCCTCCATGCTGTTGAGAGCTGTGATCCCTGTCACGAGCGAGTCGGCCAGATGGTATTTGCCATCATTCATTGCTCTGTCAAACTGTATTTTCTGCTCACACAGCATCCATAACTAGTATGAGAAAAAGAACAAAATCACAAATGTTCACGCCGTTAGTTTGTGGAGATGCCCAAGTGTCTTTACAGTAAGTCACATATTCTTTATGAGGCTTATAAAAAAAAAGTTTAAAATATCTCAAGTACGTAAAAAACCATGGAGAATAAAAGCATAAATCCACACATGCCAGCCATCAAGTTCATCAACTCAAACATGGCTTTCTTCGTCCTGAGCGCTGACCGCTACTACTGAAGTCCTCTGTAGATCCCACTTCCCTCTTTGTTCAAAGTAAACAGGTGTTTATCATTCCTATTCATGCTTACAAAATATCATATATGTACCTATCCTTAAACAAATCATGTTTTCCACCATTGGGTAAGTTATGCCATCTCTGACAAAGTCCTTTGTGGCCAGAGAACTCAGCTGAGACACTAGCAACCCCACATTACGCTGCAGTAAAGCTGTTCTTTTTAGCAACAAACCCGGTGCCCGGCAGAGGAGCTGACCTGCGCATGCTGGGTGTTGGGGGGAAATCGCTCCTTCAGGTGCTTCAGCACTTCGGCAGCTGCAGCGAAACAACCCTGAAACACAGATGGGATTCAGTGCGCACACTGTGCCCGGGGTCCCCGCTGCTTCCCAGCAGGCCGCCGGCCACGATTCACCCACCACAGACCAGGGAACCTGCCATGCATTGTGCAGAGAGAGGTCAATTCAAAGGACCTTTTTTTTTTTCCAGTTTTTAATGAATTTTGTTCACTTTGAAAAATGATACATGTAACATGATTACTCTGAAAACAATCTGCAAAGTACATATAAAAAAGTGTTACTTTTCAACCTACTGAAGAAAATTACTAAAAAAAAATAAAATAAAAAAATATTACTGCTCATGTTTTAATACATATCTCCTTTTATGCACATAAATATTCCAAGATATACAATTATTTTTATAAATTATGATGCTATATATCATGTACTAGACTCTCAGCAAGAATTTTTGAAAAGATTTGTTTTTTTCTTTGAAAGGCAGAGTATCAGAGAGAGAGAGGGGAAAGAGAGAGATCCTCCATCTGCTGATTCTCTCCCTAGATGCCTGCAACAGCTGGATCTGGGCTGACCAGGCCGGATGTGGAGACCTGGATGGAGCTCCAGGCTCCCAGCTCCGGCCTGGCCCAGCCCTGGCTGTTGTGGCCATCTCATCTGGGAAGGAAATCAGATGGAAGGTTTCTGTCGTTTCTTTCAATCTGTGATTCTGCCTTTTAAGTAAATAGATAATCTTTTTTTTTTTTTTTAATTAGAAAGTCAGATTTATACAGAAGGAGAGAGAAAGATCTTCCATCTACTGGTTCACTCTCCAAATGGCCACAATGGCCAGGAGCTGAGCCAATCCGAAGCCAGGAGCCAGGAGCTTCTTCCGGGTCTCCCATGGAGGTGCAGGGTCCCAAGATCTTGGGACATCCTCTACTGCTTTCCCAGGTCACAGGCAGGAGCTGGATGGGAAGTGGGACAGCCAGGATATGCACTGATGCCCATATGGGATCCCAGTGTGTGCAAGGCGAGAACTTTAGGCACTAGACTACTACACTGGGCCCAATCAACTTCTTTAATTCCATTTTCTCACAGGCATTTTTGAAGTTCCCTAGATAACGCTGGTCTCAGGAGGAACAATTCTACTTCAAAAACCCTCCAGGCCACACTTCCAACAGGTGGTCTGTGTGGCCTGCTCATTTGATGTCAAGTTGTTGCGGGTGTCCCAGGAGGATCCCACTAGACACCCTACTCACGGTGCACCAAACACTCCATGAGCCATGGTGGCAGGTAAGGAAAAGCTGTGACGCTAAATAAAGTTCTAGAGACCGGTGCTGAGGAGCCTAAAGGACAGCAAGCAGCAAGTCGGCCTGCTGTTCTGACAAGCAGAAGCTTGGGTGGCACTTAGTGGGCATGGGAAACAAGCAGCTAACCGAGTGCAAGGGGAACCCACCAACCAAAAGCCACCCACTCCCTCCACTTACACAACTACCTAAAAGAGTTAATGGGGCCAGGGCCCAGCACTGTGGCCTAGAAGCTAAAGCCCTCGCCTTGAACATGCCAGGATCCCATATGGGCACTGGTTCAAATCCCCGCAGCCCCACTTCCCATCCAGTTCCCTTCTTGTGGCCCGGGAAAGCAGTTGAGGACGGCCCAAAGACTTGGGATCCTGGGCCTGTGCAGGAGACCTGGAGGAAGTTCCTGGCTCCTGGCTCCGGATCGGCACAGCACTGGCTGTTGCAGTCACTTCGGGAGTGAATCATCGGACGGAAGATCTTCCTCTTTGTCTCTCCTCCTCTCTGTATATCCTACTTTGTAATAAAAATAAATAAATCTTTAAAAAAAAATTATTTATTTGGGGCCAGCACTGTGGCAGAGCCAGAAAAGCCACGACCTGCAATACTAGCAAACCAAAAGGTGCCAGATCAACTCCCAGCTGCTCCAGCTCCCTGCTAATGCATCAGGGAAAGGCGGGGGGAACGACCCGCTCACGTGGGAGCCCTGGCTTTGGCCTGGCCCTTGTGGCCACTAAGAGTTGAACCACTGGATCAAAGATTTCGTCACTCTCTTTCAATGAACAATAATAAACACATGAATCTTTACCAAAAAAAAAAAAAAAAAAAGTCGTAAAATGCTAAACTATGTTCATTCAAGAAAACTATTTCTCTATTTTGAAAAGGGAGGGAGGCAACAAGCCAGGTATCTTTTGGTGACATGGTAAGGAACACTGACTGTTATGATGCAATCTAACAAGCACAGGAACCACAAAAAGGCCACAAGAAAACAGAGTCATCACCCATCCCCGCTTCCAAACACAACATGGACTCCCAGTGAAACTGCTGGACACGTGTAGACAATGGGACGCTGGCCTGTCTGACACTGTCCGGCATGTCGGGGCACACTTAGAAGCCGGGAGGAGCCTGGCACTCTGTCCAGGCCTTCCCCTTTGGAGGCAGGGTCCAACCATTTGGGCCAGCAGGGAGCTTGATCTGGAGCAGTTGGGACTTGAACTGATGCCCCTATCAGTTACCAGAATTACAAGCAGCGGATTAACTTGCTGTGCCACAACACCAGCCCTAATCGTGCTACTTCAAAATACAGCTTTCCTGGCTCTCTTCTCCTTAAAAGACATTTCTGGGTAAGATCAAAGTGTGCAGTGCTTGGCTATATGTGATTGCCTTTCTTGGGCATCCACCAGTCGCGGCCTGGAGACCTGTCTCTGATGCTCACTGGAGACGGAAGAAGCCCACACATGGCTGACTTGACAGGTGCAGTGCCCCTGCCGTGGGGGGAGGGTGTCACTCTTCAGCCACTTGTAGTCAACCAGACCCAGGCAGAGCAGGCCCAGTGCCGTTCACAAGCACGAGGCCTGGCCAGCCGCCTTACCTGTTCCGCGTGTAGCTCTGCAAGGTGGCAGAGTGCCACGGCAAAGGACTCGGTGTTGTTTTGCTGCACGCCAGAATTCACCGACTCCAGGCTGTTCATGCTTAGCAACATCTGAGCTTGCTGCAGGGCCATGGTGCTGGGTGACGAGAGGGAACAGGAGTCTCCCTCAGGCAGGAGCCGCTGGCTGTCCCGCAGCCACGCCCTCCTGCTAACTTCAGTGGAAACGCACGGAAATCGACCCCTCTGCAGGCTTTGGCTTTGCGGAAGCAGCTGCTTCCCAAAGCCAGCTCTCGCCCTGACGACAGGGAGAGGGGAAAAGCCCAGGTGTGCAGCCCCGAGGAATCAGGAAGTGGTTATGACACGACCGGAGCGCCATGCTTCCAGACGCCCACCCCGCCCGCCCCCGCCCGCTCCCCTTGCAGTCACAGCGTGTTAGTTAAGTTTTCACGGGCAAATTCAGACCCGATGCCATCCTGGCACCGACTGCTCTGGCAATGAATGCAAGCAGTGGCCAGTGTCTGCAGCTGTTTCAGAGCACACCGTGCCAAAAAATTATCTGAAATACAAAAACAAGACCGGTAAAATAGGCACTTCCTTTCATCACTGAATTCCTAGAAAGTGGGGTGTCTAGGGAGGCACGAGGCAGCGGCAGGCTCCAGGGTTCAGTTCTGGTTCAGAAGTTTGCTCCCACGCTCAAGGTGGCTAACTGGACATATTGCAGAGAAAATACCTTGCTCAACCAGACAGCAACAGTGGGGTACAGGGGGTGCTTGGCATGGGCACCTGGACCACACCTCCTGCACACAGGAAGAGGGGTCCTTGTCCCGGAGCTGAGGGGCAGGGCGTGGGAGCCGTAAGACCTCAAGTGCCAGTGCTGAGATGTGCTCAGGATCATAGGCAGGTCAGACACATGAACCAGAAACGAGATCACCCTCAGACACTTCACGGGACAGCTGGGAGGAGCAAACCAAAATGTGCGTGTGACTGGGAACTGCCAGGTCCAGGCAGAATACAGAATGTGTTCATAACACAAAGCATTTGCTTGGATGCCCGCCTGAACTTGAACGAGGGGCAGTCCTTGCATCTGACGTCCCACAGAGCCGACTTTCCCGGTGCCTGCTCAGGGCCGCAGGTCCCCGCGCGGCCCCGCTGGGGCCTGGGGACTCACCTGCGCCCGTACAGCCTCCAGATGGCCGTTTTCTGGGCTATGCTGATGTCGATGAGCTCCGACAGGCTGTGCTTCCAGTGCAGGAGGTCGGAGGCCTTGAGGGCATCCATCAGCTTGTTGGCCGTCTTCCCGGCGAAAGCTCTCTGTTGAACAAGGGACTGTATTCCCAGGGAGGCGAGGTACTAAGGGGACAGATATACCCACGACCCAAGATAGAGATTACATGACAGAATTTGTTTTGCTCTTCAGAAATGTGGTGGATTTCACATTTCAGCACATGCACAAGTGACTACTTAAAAGGAAGGGACCTACAACCTGACCTTAACCCTGACCCTCTAGGGCTAAAACAGAAGCAGAGGGCGCGTGGGAAAGCGCCAGAGCTCTGGCGCCAGGGGGACCTAGACTCCAACACTGCCTCTGCTACTTACTGTGCGACTTAGGGCCAGTCCCTCAGCTTCTTAGCTAAGCCTCAGCTCCCCCACCTGAATAATGGGCATCAAACCTATCATAAAGAAGGGGCGAAACGATATATGTCAGACAGTGCTGGGCACAGCGTGGGACAGCAGACCAAAAAGGACACCCATCGTGACCAACACAGCCTCTTTTGCTTGGCGGTCGTTCAGGACGACAGCAGAAAGCCAAGTCGGCTTCCACACACTTCAGCAGTCTATCCGTTACTTTCAAGGAGCCGGTTTTGTCATTATGCTAATTCTGCATGGGCAAGCTTCCTTTCCCAGAAGTGAATCACACGGACAAGCTACACCTTTAAAAGGCATCACGCAGGACATGTTTCAAGAAGTTGTGGAAAATGAAATGGTAAGTGGACTGTGGTGCAGGAGTTTTGTTCTAAATCTATGCACCGTTTTCTCATCATACACATCTCTTCCCGAACTTTCTGAAGACCTCCTCACGTTGAGACCTTCCCTGAAGCCTGCAGACTCGTGACAGACGGTGCGAGCCACGCCCCTGTCTGCGGCCCGGTGGTCACCACGTCCATGGGTAATGAGGACTGTACCTCGGGTCCTCCTCTGCCGTTCAGAACAAGGACTGACACATCTCTCTGTCAGGTTTCCTGGCATGTCACTAACTGTTTAAAACAAGGATCAGCAAACTGGTCCTTTCGAGAGCCACTTGGTCTTGCAGGCCATGCTGCTTCCTGACGCACGTTCCTGCAGGCTGCTGCTTCTGCCCATCACTTAAAATGCAGAACCCATTCTTGGGCTGGCGGCCACACGTGCGCAGGCAGCAGACCGCACGTGCCTGTGCGGGGTCAAGTTTGCCAATCCCCGGTTTAAACACCAGCCTTTCTTACCACCTCTGAGAGCAGGTATGTGCTGGGTTAGTGTGGCTCAGTAAGCTAAAGAAAGATCTGTTATCCAGTTGGTAAATGGAGCATCCACAGACGTTATTAGGGTAAAGGGAGCAGAGAGAAACCTTCTGAGCAGGGTCAAGTGGTTTCATTAGTAATTAAATCCAGTGAGACACCAGGAGTGAACGCACATGGAGGCGCCCGCTCTCCGGCTAGCACTGGTCAGGACAGAGGCGGGGGAGAAGAGAGGCTCAGCGCCATGGACTCAACAATCTCACAGAAAGGCCAGCCTTACCGGTAACCCAAAATGCACTGCCTTCTTCACCGAGTGCTCCAGCAGGACATAGCTATCGGCTCTCTTCTGCCCCAGCACATAGAGCCAGCTCTGGCGAGAGACAATCACCAAAGGGCGTCATAACGGTGGCAGTGCCTCCATGCTCCAGCCAATGTCAGCGTGGCCCAAAGGAGGGACTAAGGGCAAAATACATCCTCTCAGACACTCTTTCACCAGGTAGGACCCTCCGTGAGACCTGCCCAACACAGGGGACTAGACTGAAATAAACGCGCCCTGGGCCTGCTTGGCCTGTGCAGGCCGTGCCTGGCAGGTGTCCATGGCACAGCAGACGCGCCACAGGAGAGTCTCGGGTGACGGTCGGGTGACACATTTCTCTGATCTACTTGGACTGATGACCGTGCTTCCCAGGGCACTGTACGCAGCACACACCGGGCTGTTCATGACAAAGTCAGGAGATTTTGTGGCCTTTTCTAAAGGCAAGTTAAACATTTGTAAAGAATTGTCCCAAAGCAGAAGAGACATAATGAATTAAGATCTAAGATCCAATAAATCAGGGTTGTCCTTTCTGGTTTCCTGGTATGCCTTCGCTGCGAAGGCCCTTAGACCCCGCTGTGCAAGAGGCCTCCAAAGGCCAACTCAACCCACGAGGAAAGCTCCCAAGCCCAGGGGACGGCCTCACCAAACAGTGCTGGAGACACACGTGGTCGTTGGACTCCTGGGCAATCCTAATTGCCTCCTGCAGGGCGAGCTCTGCCTGTTGACTAACGACAGACTAAACATTAATATCCCATCAACAATCACAAAGAAGCAAACGCACGGGCGGCGGAGGCCGCGGGGACACACTTCTGAGGCTGTCGCTACGTGGGGCTCATGCTCTCAGAGCTGGGCTGCAGGGGAGACAGGACAAGCCCTTCCTAAGCCGAACCGCTATTGCAAGGGGCAGAAGCAGGCCTTGGTCTGTGCTCCTAAATGTTTATTCTGGTTGTTGTTGCTAAGGAGAGGGATAAAAAGATCTAAGCTGTTCATTTCATTCCCCATGGATTAGCTGTTTTCTGCATGTTTTTGTTTGTTTGTTTGTTTTTAACCTGTATCACTTTTTCAAAACTGGTCTTAAAAAGTATTTTGGAGCCTGGCATGATAGCCTAGTGGCTAGAGTTCTAGCCTTGCAAGCCCAGAATCCCACATCGGTACCAGTTTGTGCTCCGGCTGCTCCATTTCCCTCTCAGCTCCCTGCTTGTGACCTGGGAAAGCAATCGATGACAGTCCAAAGCTTGAGATCCTGCACCTGCATGGGAGACCCAGAAGAAGCTCCTGCCTCCTGGGTTCGGATCAGCTCAGCTCCAGCCGTTGCGGCCACTTGGGGAGTGAACTATCAGATGGACGATCTTTCTCTCTCTACTCCTCTGTATACTTTCCAATAAAAATAAAAAGCTTTAAAAAATTATTTTGAAGATTCCCATTCTGAATTTTTTTTCCAGATCATGTGGTTCCACCTCTGATTTTAACTTAGCATCATTGATCTCTCATTTCTGAAAATACCCACCAAAATACTGCCTGTACCCCAAGCGGCACTGTTTACATACACACTCTTGGGTGTAACTCTCCATCACGTTGGGTAAATTTTATATTTCATCAACTTGGTTATAATTCTCTAGATGATACAGGCTATGTCTTAAATTTTGGATTGCTCAACAGCAAGTTGCAGCACAGAAATTTTACACATGCTGGGTCACAGGGTTAGTGTTGTGGCACAGCGTGTGAAGTCACAGCCTATAATGCCGGCATCCCAAATGGGAACTCGTTCAAATCCGGCCACTCTACTTCCACGCCAGCTCCCTGATAGTATGCCTGGGAAAGCAGCAGAGGATGGCCATGTCCCTGCCCGTCCCCCAGACAGAGTTCTAAGGCCTTGGCTTTGGCCGGGCCAAGTCCAGGCCACTGTGGCCATCTGAAGAGTGAGCCAGTGGAGGGAAACCGCCTCTCCCTCTCTCAGTAACTGCCTTTCAAATAAATATATTTGAAAAGGGGTGAGGCATCACTGAGACCAGAAATTTCTGAGTGTCACCCAGAAACTAGACCCGTTTTTAACTGTTTTCTATTTCTTTCACTTCTGTATTCATGTTGAGAGTCAAGCCACGCGCTAGACCGAAGCGCTTGAGGGCAGGGAGCACTTCCTCAGAGAGCCTTCGCAAGCATCAGCTCATTTCACTTGATGAACATTTGACAGCCAATGGTAATTCCTAGGCTAGACTCCTAGCTTGCTAAAATCAGGCCAAAGAGATTTGGGGAGCACTGTAGATGCAGTCTGCTGAAACGGGACTAAGCAGACTACAGTCTTCCAGGCAGGAAGACAAGGCAGGTCACCAAGACAGGGTCCCCAGGGGAACATCAGTCCCTATCACTGCTATTGAGATAAAAGCCTTCTGTGACAGGACAACAAACGGGTAATGCCATCTGAAGTGGATTACAGGCCAGTGTTTCAACTGCCAGAGCAAAGACTGGCACCGTGACGTAGCTAGACAATGCCTCTGTCCGTGACTAGCATCCCATGTGGGTGCCAGCTCATGTCCTGGCTGCTCCACTTCCAACCCTACCCCCTGCTAATGGTTTAAAATCAACCACTTATTAGACCATCTGCATCTGGAGAAGCAGGGGAAACGGACCAAACACGTGGGCCTCTGCTACCCACATGGACAACCAAGGTGGGACTCCATGCTTTGGGCTCCAGGCTGGCCCAATCCTGGACACTGGAGTCATTTTCAGAGTAAACCAGCAGATCGAAGAAGATCTCTCCGTCTCTCCCTCTTTCTGTAACTCTGCCTTCCAAATAAATTAATCATAGAAAAAAAAAAAAAAAAGCAGAAAGGCCTGTAGCCTCCATACAATGGCTTCTGTCACTCAGGGCAGGTCTAGGGCAAAGTCCTCAGTCGGCCTATGCAAACCCAAACACGGGGCCCTGCCGCCCGCAGCTCTGACCTCACTCTGCCTCTGCCCGCTTCCAGGACTCCAGCCCCACCAGCAGCTCACTGTCAGGGCACCTTTGCAGCTCAGTCCTTAGCTGCCTCCCATTTCTTAAAGAGCAGAGCCCAGGAGGGAGGCTGGCCTGCTACCTGACATCTGCAGACCTGGGGAGACGCTGTCTGTGTCCCACGCTGCCATCCCTCACCCTCACCCCTGCCTGTCTCACTGCCTGACATGCGAGAGTCACACCGGCGTGCAGCCCTGCTCACCGTCTCTCTCTCCCACTGGCACCTCCACAATAGGGTTTCTTCTCTTGTTCTACAACACTCTATCGCTCAACATCTACAACAATGGCAAGTACACATGAGGCGTTCAACAGACAGTGTCAATATTTTAAAGAATTCTCCACTGTCCTTTTGGCTTCAGGTGCCTGGACCTGAGTCAGCCAGGAATTAGCTAGAACACCCACCTCTCCCCGCCTGCGTTCCAGGCCACCAGCTGTCTACCCGGGGACAGTACTATAAACACAGAAACGACGGGCATCTGGGCACTGCAGAAGTTTCCAAACAGGGCAGTTATTTCTTAACATGGAAGCAGGCTACTGCTGATTACAGAGGACAATGTTATTAGCTAAGAGTACAAAAAAAAAAAAAAGAAACACACTAATCAAGAATTTTTTTTTATAGCTAAGCAGAAAAAGTTAGCCACCACCACAGAACAGAGTCGGGGGTACTCTGAGCAGCAGCAGGTGCAACCTCTGGTCTGTGACACTGCTGTCCCGCTGAGCACTCGGCCAGCATCTCTCCGACAGACGCCTTCCCTCTGCTCTGCCCTCCGCCTCAGCTCACCAGCACTCGGTCCTCTCCATCAGTCCACACCCTTTTCATGTGAACCTGAATGAAAGTATCAACTACAAGCCTTCCCCCAGCAGTTATTGGGCCTGGATTCGAATGTCTCAACATGCTGAGCCAGTGACCCACAGACAAGCTATGGCTCGTCTACAGCCCTTCTAAAATCTGACTATCAGAAAATACAAGTCACTAGGTACTGCCTGGCCCACAGAGCAAGAAAATCTCATATAAACTTCAGACAGGGTACTTTCCTTAGTACTACGGCAACCCAAGATGTGTATGGAACAGATGTGCTGGGGCAGGCCCCAGGCCCAAGGGCTGAGCTGGGCCGGGGCTCCTGGCAGCAATGGCCTTCACACATGGACACAGGGGGGTCCCATGACTCGGGCAGTGGGCTTCTTGTTACCAACGAGGAGACCTACCACCATGTTCCCAGCTCTGGAAGGGCCCCGCGCCATCGATCTGGGGAGTGAACCACTGGATGGAAGCTCCTTCTCTCACTGTCTGCCTCTCCAACAACAAACAAACGGTATACACACAGATGTTTATTTTGGTGCCAAAAAAATGTCTGATACCCATGCACAGGATGGCTATTCAGACAGTTCACAGAAGATGCATACTATGTAGAACCTAGGCATAGGTTTCAAAAAATGTCATGTAAAAAAAATCTCATTTTTTAAATCTATGTTTCAATTATTTATTTCCATTTTTATGGAAAAGGTAAGAAGGCAGACATTTGTCTACTGGCTCATTCTCCAACTGCCTGCCACGGTGGGCTGGGTCAGACCAAAACTAGAAGACAGCAACTCGGTCTGGCTCCTCCACGCCAGCAGCAGGGACCCACCCACTTGCCATCACCTTCCGTCTGTTGGGGTACCCATTGTGTAGGAAACCAGAATCTGGAAATGGAGCTGGAACTCAAACGTAGGCAGTCCTGTATGGGATGTACTCCCTCAAGTGTCCTAAGCATTGTGCCACATGCCCACTCCAATTCCATTTTCCATGGACTTTTGAAAAATAGCCTCCTGGGCCCACCTCCTCTAATCTGCTATGCCCACCGGCAAAAAGCCATGGGAGGAGGGTGGAGACACGGACACTCTGAAATGAGTACTTTGCGGTCTCTCACCTTTAGGCACATTACTACATTGTTTACGAAACATCCTGCTGATTCCAAAGTCCTTTTTCAATCTACCTGCTTAACAAGTAATAACTTCTCACTTACCCTTCTTTACTAATTAAAAACACAGGATTGTCTAGCAACAAAATAAGCCAATGTTGTCTCACTGAGCTCCACCGGTAACATCAAAAGCAAAACTTCATCTTATAAACGCACAACTTCTTTTTGTCTGTGAAATACTACAAATAGCTTTTGCATTCCCAGTATCATCACCTCCCAAACATCCTTTTGGGGCTCTCTGGCCTAATGAGCCGATTTCCTGTCATTCAGCCCTGCACCAAGACAGCAATGCAAAACAGTGACACCAGGGGGCAGCCTACTCAGGTAGATTAACTGGTTCCCTCTGGGAAAGTTACTGAGGGTTGCAAGAGAAGGGTCTCCTTATTCTTCCTTTTTCAACATGACTTTACAAAAGGCATCTCAGTCAGGGGCAGAGCTAGTGTCCTCCACACGCGCATCGAGGCACACCCGAGAACTTACTAGTGGCCAAAGCGGCAGTGCAGGGCAGCCAGGTTGAGAGCGGCGTATCTCAGGCTCCGGCCGTAGCCCTCCTCGCCGTTGCTCTTGCCCTCGGCCCCGGTGAGAATCAGGCGGTCGAAGTAGTGCAGGAGGCTATGCGTGGAGCTGAAGACGTCCTGGACGCGCAGGTTGTTTAGATAGCTGAGGTAATGCTAGGGCCAAAGACAAGACAGCGCTATTCTGAGGGCTGCACTCCCCCAGAGCCAAGGCTAGCAGTCCTGGTATCTGTACACATCCCCTAAAAAGGAGGTGGTCGGGGCTGGGTTCACCTTTTCCCTACAGGCAGAAGGTGGGTTCGAGTCTAAAGTGCAAACAGGCCCCTTAGTGTCCATGTCCACTGTGCACCCCGGGTGTTGGGCAAGGGTCCCCTCATTCAGGATTCGGGGAACACGTCCAAGTACAAATCCAAAGCCTTTACAACACAGTGAGGATACTGCTGGTTTATTATTTCACAGTAATAAATATTAATATAAGTTAACTATTTTCCTTTACTTTGCTGAATCAAAGCTGCATCTTAACGGGCAGATTCCAGGTGACACAAAGAAACACCATCAAAAAGGGAAAAGAAGGACCCGGCGCAATAGCCTAGCAACTGAAGTCCTCGACTTACACGCACCAGGATCCCATATCAGGGCCTGTTTTAATCCCAATAGCTTCCCATCCAGCTCCCTGTGGCCTGGGAAAGCAGTCGAGGATGGCCCGAAGCCTTGGGATCCTGCACCTGTGTGGCAGACCCTGAAGAAGCTCCTGGCTCCCGGCTTCAGATCAGCTCAACTTCAGTCATTGCGGGTGCTTGGGGAGTTAATCATCAGACAAAAGAGCTTCCTCTCTGTCTCTCCTCCTCTGTATATCTGACTTTCCAATAAAAAAAAAGAGAGAGAGAGAGAGACATTTTTCAACCTCCCATGCGAGGTTCAGATGGGGAGAGAATAAAGGGAAACGCGACCAGAACCCTCGGGGAGAGTGCGCAGCCTCTGCTGTCTGCACTGAGGGGCCACACACGGCGGGGGGAGCGGGGGGCAGACCAGGCCAGCCTGGCCCAGCGCTGGGGGGCACTCACCGCCTCCGCAAAGTCAGGATTGAACTTGAGTAAGTTGTTCAGCTCCTTCTGCAGCGAAGCTGGGGTGAGGGCTTTGGTCTCATCATTCTTGAGCAGAGAAGCCTGCAATGGAATATGGACAACTGTTACCGAAAGTGGTCAGTGGACACATAGATACATGTGCTTCAAAAACGTCACAGAAAACTGAGAATTAAAGCCTAAGATCTTTTTGTGCAAAAAAAAAAAAAAAAAACACAAACTCACCTGAAATCCGCACATACAAAAGGCCTTCAAGGGCCTAGCATGATAGCCTAGAGGCTAAATACTCACCCTGGTACACACCAGCATCCCAAATGGGCACTGGTTCATATCCCAGCTACTCCACTTCCCATCCAGCCCCGTGCTTATTGTCTAGGAAAGCAGTGAAGGACGGCCCAAAGCCTTGGGACCCTGCTCCCATGTGGGAGGCCTGGAAGAAGCTCCTGGCTCCTGGCTTCAGATCAGCTCAGCTCCAGGCCTTGCAGCCATTTGAGGAGTGAATTAAGATCTTTCTCTCTGTTTCTGTCCTCTCTCTGTTAAATATAATGCATGAATTTTCAAAATATTTTGTACCAAAATAAACGTATCTTGAAGTCTGTTTTCCCATGAGCTCTGAGAGTGTCCTTGACTCTCTTCCCTGGAGAGTGCCTCTCGGCACCCCGGGCTCTGTCCCCTGCTAAGCACGTTTCACTCCAATATGACATAGAGTAATATCAATTCCTAATTTCATTTTAATGCATTATATCACTATAGAAAGTTCCAAGTGTAAAGTAAAGACAGATGTTTCTGCATCCTCACCCCTGGCAGTACCACCCTGGTGGCAGTACCACCGTCGGCACTTGTCCGTAGGGTATGACTGTGTACCCGTTTACGTGTGGCTACGTGTGAACACGCAAGATCAGAATCTATAATTTCACTTCCTTTTCTTCTCACTCAATACTATAAAATTTGTCTCACAAGTCTTTAAAACAGCTTCTAAAGCAAAAGTATTAACCCTTTCTGTCAAATTTATTCCAAATATTTTTTTTCTATTTCCTTGTCTACCTTTTAATTTGGTGAGAGCTTGTTCTGACGTGTGACATAAAGTTTTCTTCCACAGCTTTAATGTTTGGAAAGTCATTCCCCACCCAGACAGTGTGTAAAAGTTAATATGTAGTTCTCTCCGTCTAATTATGGTTTTAAGTACTTACATTTAACCCTTTCATCTGCCTGTAATGTGCTGAGGTGTGAGGGTGACCAGAGAGCACCCCTCCCTGGGCCCCCTTCCACAGGTGACCAGCTGAGCAGTGCCGCAGGGCGCTCCCTGCACGGGTGACCCACCTAGCAGACGGCCTTGTCATGTCCCGGACACTAACCTGCAGGGGTTGACTTCATAACTCTGAAACAAATAAAGTCGGGCTCGGCGTGATAGCATAGCGGTTAAACTCCTCACCTTGAACACACGGGAATCCCATATGGTCACCAGTTCTAATCCCAGCGGCTCCGGTTCCCATCCAGCCCCCTGCTTGTAGCCTGGGAAAGCAGTCAAGGACGGCCCAAAGCCTTGGGACCCTGCACCCACGTGGGAGATCTGGAGGAGGCTCCTGACTTCAGATCGGCTCAGCTCTGGCCGGTGTGGCCGCTTGGGGAGTGAGCCATTGGACTGAAGATCTTCCTCTCTGCCTCTCCTTCACTTTGTATATCTGACTTAGCAATAAAAATAAATAAATCTTTAAAAATCAATAAATACATAAAGTCACAGTTACAGAGAATGAAAGATTGCCCATCTGCTGGTTCACTCCCCAGATGGCTGCCACTATCAGGGCTGGGCCAGGCCGAAGCCAGGAGCCAGGAGCCTCCTCCAGGAAGCAGCCATCCTGTTCTGCTTTCCCCCACGCACACCAGCAGGCAGCTGGGTCAGAAGCGGAGCAGCCAGGGCTTGAGGTGGTGCTCACAGGGGATGTTGGCATTGCAAACTGCAGCTTAATCCCTTATACCACCACAGTGGTCTCATCCCATCACTTTTATCTTAACTTTACATATTTATACAAAAATGAACCTAGTAAGAAAAGTTAAGGAATGCTAGAAAAGTAGAACAGAAAGTAAAATTCTGTACTGAAAATAACATAGGAAAAAAATATTCATTTTATGTCATCAGGAAAATGAAAAAAAAAAAAAAAAAAATGGCCCTAAAACAGAAACAGGACATGTACGGAGCAAAGCACACTGTTGCTCAATCCACTGGGTCACGTCACCGATGTCCACGGGACGGGACCAGGCCAAAGCCGGGAGCCTTAACTGCGGGGAGACCCAGCACCTGCAGCCTCGCTGCGTGCACTGACAGGCAGCTGGGTCAGGAGCACACTGGGGCTCCCACTATGTACTCTGACCTGGTATCGGGGCATCCTCATGATGACCTAATGACAGCACTAAACCCCCACCCCTCCAGCTGGCCTGGCACACGCTGTGAGAAGGGCGCAGCTTGTCCGAGGAGCAAACACCTGCGGTGACGGGGAGGGGCACGGCCACACCTGCGCTGCTGGTGAGGATGAGAGGCACTAGACCGAGAGGCGACGCCGAGTCCTTGGCCGTCTACAAGGGGACAGCCCGTGCTGGGACACAGAACGGCACATGACAAACACAGAATTCACCTACCTGTTGAGAAAGAAAAAATTCTGCCTGCTTCTGAGATAGAGGTCCACTGCAAGCTTCCTCCTCTTCTCTAAGAAAAACAAAAACAGTGAAGAGTTACACAAGAATGAACCCAGTCAGGTTTATTATATATACTTTCTTACCAGGGTGCTCAAAACTAAAATTAATTCTCTCTTCGCAAACAGGCACCCTTCAAAAATGACTTCAAAAATGGAAGTATCCTTGTTCTGCAAGCTGCCAGGCTTCTGAGAAACAGAGATCCACCTCCTACCCTGAACAAGACACACTGCGGACTCCTCGTTTCCAGCACAAGTTAGTAGAACACTTCGTTCCAGGGCTTGAATCTTCACATCATGTAACCGGCTACATCGGGATAATCCGAAATGTTCCCCTGACCACTTGTTCCACCAGCTGACTCCTCTCCACAGACAAAATGAGAGTAACACTTAATCCTGATCATGTCTTTCTGGCTTATGCCCCTTGTAATTAAATACATATAATTTTTTTTTATTTTAAAAGTAGTGTCAAGATTATACATATATGGTCAAATGATTTTTGACAAAGGTACCATGATCACTTATTCAATGAGAAAAAAACAGTCATTTCAAAAAAAATGGAGCCAGATAAAGTAGAAGATCCACATACAAAAGAACGAAGCTGGGGCCCAGCGCAGTAGCCTCGTGTCTAACGTCCTCACCTTACATGCACCAGGAAGCCATATGGGCACCAGCTCACATCCCGGCTGCTCCACTCCCCAACCAGCTCCCTACTTGTGGTCTGGGAAAGCAGAGCACAACCCAAAAGCTTGGGACCCTGCACCCGCATGGGAGACAAGGAAGAAGCTACAGACTTAGATCAGCTCAGCTCTGGCCATTGCAACCACTTGGGGAGTGAATCATTGGGTAGCATAGCTCTGTCTCTCATTCTCTATAAATCTGCCTGTCGGATAAAAATAAATATATCTTTTCAAAAACAATCTTTCTCTCTGTAAATCTGCCTTTCCAATAAAAGTAAATAAATCTTAAAACAAAAAAAAGTCCCAAAAGGATACCACCCATTAAACCCAAGTCACCTCACAGACACATCAAGATCTTCTTTCTCCATTTTTCTTTCTCCGTCCTCTCGGGTCAGTTCCATATCTGTGTCCTCCACTGCCTTTCTCTCCGCGCTGTGGAAATACTGCTGAAGGGCGGTGTAGAGCTTATACACTTGACTGAAGGACAGCTTGCTATAGGCCAAAATCATGTGACGCAGAAACAAGCCTGCGGAGAAGTAGCAGCGAGGCCGAGGGTGAGCGCAGGCGGGCCAAGTCTGCCCCTGCAAGAATCCTGAGACTCCTGCAGGGGCTGTGCCCACCTTCTGGAATGTTCTTCTGCCATCCTTCCCAAACCCAGACTCTACTCAGGGCTGGGGCCTGCCAATCCCCCTGCACCACCTCTAGCCCTCACTGCCTGTCTTCTCTTCACGGCTCTTGACCCTGACACGACCTCCCATATTTGCTTCCCGCTTTCCATCTGAGCCCTGCACTGCATAACCTCCGTAGGACGGGACACGTCTACCGTGAACATGCAAGGCCTGGCAGCCAGCAGATCCACACACTGAATGACATAAAAAATACCATGCAAAAATTAATAAAAAGAGCCAGAGGGACGGAAGGAGTGTGGAAAGGCATGAAGCAAGCATCATGGATGTGCTCATACTTCCCTTCCCTCTCTCCCTCAGGTGGGCTGCTGGCCCTCCCCGCAAGCTGGATAACGCAGGCATAAGATCCAGCGGACGGTGAGAAGCACCCTGGGCCCGCACCCTGACGCTGATTGGTGTGAGCATAACACAAGGTGTTTTTTGACAAGCAAGTGATTTTAATATGGAGCACATCAGCAACGTAATACACACAAACCACACACCCAACATCGCCGCCCTGCCAGCCGTACGCCAGAGTAACGACGGATGGCACTCAGCTGCCCATGCTAACAGAGACGTGTCGTTCCTCTTAGAAGAGTTCCAGGGCCTGGCAGAGTAGCCTAGTGGCTAAATCTTCATCCTGTAACCACCAGGATTCCATATAGTACCAGTTCATATCCCTGCTGCTCCACTTCCCATCTAGCTCCCTGCTTGTTGCCTGGGAAAGCAGTTGAGGACGGCTCAAAGCCTTGGGACCCTGCACCCGTGTGGGAGATCTGGAGAAGAAGCTCCTGGCTCCTGGTATCAGACTGGCTCAACTCCTACTGTTGCAGCCACTTGGGGAGTAAAACGGCAGACAGAAGATCTTTCTCTTTGTCTATCCTTCTCTCCGTAATTCTAACTTTCCAATAAAAATAAACCTTTTTTTTTTTTTTTTTCCAAAAAAGAGTTCCTTACCTACGACACTTGTTTTGTGAACTTCTGGCTCAGTTCCAGAAAAAGAATCCGAAAGGTCATCGAAAAATTGTTCCATATCCTTCAATTCACCTTCAGCCATCAGTTTGATTCTAAAGGAGAAAATTCAGGTGTACAGTCTTAGATCTTTGACTATTTCCCCATATACATTGCCTGTTCCTGAATTCTAAGTCTGTTGTAAAGGTGATTTGTGGTGGTAAATAAAACAAAGTTAATAATCCTTATTTTTGAAAAGGATCATTGCTGTTTTCTTGATCATAAAATCTGTCAAAGTTTCAAATCAGGCACTAACAATGGAATTTCTTAAAAATACCTAGAAAAGACCTACAGACAGCAATAAATTTGGGAGGGGGAACTAGAAAATAGTAGGGACAGTGCAATGGCTCAATTGGCTCATCCTCCTGAAGTGCCAGCATCTTGTGAGGGCAGAGGTTCATGTCCCGGCTGCTCCACTTCCCATCCAGCTCCCTGCTTGTGGCCTGGGAAAGCAGCTGAGGACAGCCCAGAGCCTTGGGACCCTGCACCCATGTGGGAAACCTAGAAGAGGCTCCTGGCTCCTGGCTTCAGATCAGCTCAGCTCTGGGTGTTGCAGCCACTTGGGGAGTGAACCAATGGATTGGAAAATCTGTCTCCTCTCTGTATATTTACCTTTCCTGTAAATCTAAATAAATCTTTTTTTAAAAAAAAAAATTATTAAACAAAGTATGCTTAACATCATCCACTTTTCAAAATAAACAGTACTACTGGGGGGAAAAAAAAACCCTAGCACAGCAGGACGCAGATCTTTGCAGCACGCCACATTGCCTCACGTTGCTCACCACTGACAGCCTTCTCACACACAGAGGAGGCGGCGGCTTACCTGATCTGCACTGAATTTGCCAGCTGAGGACAGCAGTCTTCAATTAACTTATAGAGTTTGGACAACGTGATATCTGGGCCCTGAATAAAAGACAAACAGAAAAATTACTTGTAAATCTTAAGGAGTTAGAGACTAACATTGAACAACCAGCCAGCATATGTATCGATGCTTTGCTCTACACGGGAAAGCTCTAGTCTGTTTTACTAACTATATTGTGGCCGTAATACTTCACATTTGCATACCACTTTCATTGAGTAAATGTATCTCAAATGGTGAGACCACACAGGACTGACTGATTGACAGACCAAGCTCCCGCCTTCCTTCTGAGTCAGACCAACCAACCTCCTAGCCCTGCTTGCCTCCAGCAGGAAGAGTATGAGGACAGCGCAAGAATGTTCTCCCTCGTCTGTGACAAGGATGGAGACCCTGTAAAGTGCTCTGTAAACTGACACCACCAGACAAGCGTGAGGGACAAACCGTTTGCAACTTCAGTTAACAGGAGGATTTCAATGAGGCTGCAGTTCAAAACCAAACCATGTTGAGGAGGCCACCTGACCTAATGGTTAAAGCTCACAGTAGGGTCTGGTGCGATGGCTCAACTTGTTCATGTCCCAGCTGCTCTACTTCCCATCCAGTTCCTTGCTTGTGGCCTAGGAAAGATTGGAGGACAGCCCAAAGCCTTGGGACCCTGCACCTGCGTGGGAGACCAGGAAGAAGCTCCTGGCTTCAGATTAGCTCAGCTTTGGCCATTGTTGCAATTTTGGGAGTGAACCAGCGGATGTGAGATTTTTCCCTGTGTCTTTCTCTCTGTCGACATGAATGAGCTCAAGCTTGCTGAAAGGAGTAAGCTGTACATAGCATTTACACAAAGAATTCACAGAGAGATCCTTATGCACCTAGCAAGGTCCACTCCAACACTGGTCCTTGGTGGCTCAATGAATCCCTGGAACAATCACCTCTGAGATGGAAGGTGACTGCTGGCTGAGTAGCACAATCTTTCACTCGGTCAACGTTTGCATTATTTCCAATTTTTATAAGGAGCCTTTGTTGCTGAACGGTCAAACGCTAAGCAAAGGTCTGGCTGGAATGTTATCAGGCCAGCTCTAGGCATACTTGAATGAAAACTGTATCAGGAGAATCCCAGCCAGCAAAGACCAACCTAGGTCAACAGAAGAGAGAAAAAGACTTCCATCCCGGGGTTAACATTACGGTGTGGCAAGCCAAGCGCCTGCGTGCAGTGTCAGCATCCAATACTGGAGAGGCAGTTCGAGTCCCAGCTGCTGGTAAGGCCCAGAACTGACCAGTGCCGGACACAGGAAGTCCCGTTGTACAGAGAAAGGCGAGACCCACTGGCTTAAAGAATTGGTCCAAGCGGCAGCTGCTGAGCCACGAAGCTGGGACTCAGGTCTGCAAACACAACTTCTGTGAGACCCTTATCAGGGCCCATGATCAACCTCACATGGTGATCACCACCGAGAAAGGCTCTCCAGCTCCGAGGACAACGTGAAGCCTCGATGGACAGAAGTCCTGAACACACAACTGTGCACTAACCACTCAACCCGTACACACTGCCACCAGGCAGGGGCCTGCCAAGAACTGCGTCAGTGGACGCTGCTGTGAGGGGCTGGCTGGCTGCATTTCTCACTTTCCTCCAAAGCTGAAGAGGACCTGCTGCACCCCGGGTTCCCCGTCCCAGGACAGTGGGACCAGCCCCTCGCTGCACCCCGGGTTCCCCGCCCCAGGACAGTGGGACCAGCCCCTCGCTGCACCCCGGGTTCCCCGCCCCAGGACAGTGGGACCAGCCCCTCGCTGCACCCCGGGCTCCCAGCATCCCGCAGGCAGTGTTTCCGGAACCCCGCTGCACCCCGGCCCCCCGGCCCCGGCAGGGGCCCCGTCAGGTCGTTCACCTGCAGCAGCGGCAGCAGCAGCTGGTTCAGCCGCCGCCGCTCCAGCAGGCTGATGGCGTCCTCGCCCGCATGGCTCATCTCGCTCAGCAGCACCAGCACCCCGATCTTATAGGGCGTTACCCAGTCCTTGATGCCAAACACGCTGGCGTGCACCACACCTTGGTTCATCATTGAGCTATAGTAGAGGCCTTCGTGGACGCTGGCCATGGCGGGACCGCCAGGCGCAGCGCCCACCGTCGCCTCAGAACATCTTGCGGGTCGCCCAATATCCCATCGATCCGTCCGTCCGCCCTGCGAGCCCGGGAAATTGGCACCCTCGCGCGCCGACCACCCGCCGGCCAATCGGAAAAGGGTCCTTGGAGCACGTGGGCGGGTTCGACCAATAGTAGCGCCCAGGAGCGAGAAGACGGGCGGGGCGAACGCTGTGCGCTAGAAAACTGAGTCCCTACAGAAACTCTTGCCGAACAAGAACGGGTTCCCCCAACGACGTGGCCGGTGACCCTGTAACCCGGAGAATCTATGCTTGGAACCGGAGGCTTCGTTTGTACACATTTAATTTGAAAAAAAAAAAAAAAAAATCAGATCGAACTTTAAAATAGTTGTGTTTAAAAGCCGTGTGGTTGGGACCGGCGCCGCGGCGTAACACGTTAAGCTTCCGCCTGCGGAGTGCACATCCTTTGTGGATCTTGGTTCGAGTCCCGATTGTTCCAGTTCCAGTCCAACTCCCTGCTCGTGGCCTGGGAGGATGACCTACGTCCTGGAGCAACTGCAGCTACAATGGGAGACCGGGAAGATGCTCCTCCTAGCTTCAGGGCCGCTTGCATCAAAGCCTGGAAGGAATCATGCTATTGATTCTAGAACATTCTCATCACCCCCCCCCCCAAGAACCCTGGGCCCCATGGGCAGTTACTGCCCATCCTCCCACCCCATACCAGCCGATCTGTGGATCCACTGCTCCGCACGCTCCCTGGGAAAGGGGCTCCGTGGGGTGACTTCATGAGGTTCCCCCACGCGTGTCTCTGGGTCATGCCGGGAGGACGGACAGATGGACAGACACACACTTGTGTGCAAACACGTGTCCTCTTGGTTTTTCCAAAGCGGATGCAGCATTTCCCGCGGGCCCTGAGTCGGGTGCACCCTGAGATGGGTGGACCCTGAGTCGGCTGGCCCTGAATCGGGTGGACCCTGAGATGGGTGGACCCCGAGTCAGGGTGGACCCCACTCAGCGCTGCAGAGGGAGGCAGAGGGCCTGCCCTGGGAGCGTGGATCCTGCCAGGCCACGAAGGGACGCAGCGATCCCAGGGGTCTGTACACTGAACGCAGGATGGCTGTGCTGCTGACTGCGGGTCTCGCGCGTTCTGTTTACGAGACCCCTAGACCCCAAGTGTGGACATGGCACCTGCTGCACCAGCCGCAGAGGGAAAGGGCAGGGGCACATGGGGGCAGTGAACCAGTGCATGAAAGATTTCTGTCTCTGCTTCTCTCTGTAAATCTGATCTGCCTTGTGAATAAAATTAAAATAAATCTTTCAGGCCTGGAGCAGTAGCCAAATGGCTAAATCCTTGTGTTACAAGCGCCAGGATTCCATGTGGGCAACGGTTCTGTGTCTCGGTGGCTCTGCTTCCCATCCAGCTCCCTGCTTGTGGCCTGGGAAAGCAGTGGAGGTCCGCCCCGAAGCCTGGGACCCTGCAACCGCGTGGGAGACCCAGCAAGAGGGTCCTGGCTTTGGATCAGCTCAGTTTCAGCCGTTGTAGTGAATCATTGTATGGAAGATCTTTCTCTTTGTCTCTCCTCCTCTCTGTATATCTGACATTGCAATAAAAATAAATAAGCCTTAAAAAAAAAAAATCTCGTGGCTCCTGGCTTCAGATCAGCTCAACTCTGGCAATTGAGGCCACTTGGGGGAATGAAGCAGTGGATGGAAGCTCTTTCTGTCTCTTCTTCTCTCTTTACATCTGACTTTCCAATAAAAACAAATAAATGAATGTATTTTTAAAAGGTACAGAGAGGGCCCGGCGCGGTGGCGCAAGTGGTTAAAGGTCCTCGCCTTGCACGCCCGGGATCCCATATGGGCGCCGGTTCTATCCCAGCAGCCCTGCTTCCCTTCCAGCTCCCTGCCTGTGGCCCGGGAAAGCAGTCGAGGACGGCCCAAAGCTTTGGGACCCTGCACCCGCGTGGGAGACCCGGAAGAGGCTCCTGGCTTCGGATCGGCGTAGTATCGGCCGTTGTGCTCACTTGGGGAGTGAATCATCGGACGGAAGATCTTCCTCTCTCTCTCTCTCCTCTGTGTATATCCGCCTTTCCAATTAAAAAATAATAAAAATAAATCTTTAAAAAAAAAAAAAAGGTACAGAGAGGGAGAGGAGGGAGAGATTGTGGCATTGATCTTCCAGCCTCCAAACGGTAGCAACAGGCAGGACTAGGTTGGTTTGAAGCAAGGAGCCAGTAGCTTCTTCCAGATCTCCCTTATGGGTGCAGGGACCATCCTCTGCTGCCTTCCCAGGCCACGGGCAGGAAGCTGGATCAGCAGTGGAGCAGCTGGGACAGGACGGTGTCTCTATGAGATGCCAACACCACAGGCCTGGCACACTCCCACACCCCTTCCCTCTGAGTTTAGGGGAAGGCGTTGTGGTGCCTCACGGGAAGACACCACTTGGAACACCTGCACTTCATACCGGGGTGACTGTGACTGAGTCCCAACCCTGCTTTCAATCCAATTTCCTGCTGATGCAAACCCTGGGAGAAGAGCTGATGGTTCAGATGCCTGGGACCATCATCGCCCATCTGTGAGATAGGTTGCAGCCCTCTGGGCTCATGGGTTTAGTCTGGTCCATCCTAGAGGTTGCAGGCATTTGGGAAATGAATCGGTAAGTGGAAGAGAGCTCTTTCTGTTTCTTTCTCTCTGTTTCAAATAAATAGCTAAATACATAGCAATTAAAAACAATTTTTAAAGATTTATTTATTTTTGGGCCCGGGGGTGTGACCTAGCAGCTAAGTCTTCGCCTTGAATGCACTGGGATCCCATATGGCCACCAGTTCTAATCCCAGCAGCTCCACTTCCCATCCAGCTCCCTGCTTGTGGCCTGAGAAAGCAGTCGAGGACGACCCAAAGCCTTGGGACCCTGCACGTGTGTGGGAGACCCTGAAGAAGCTCCTGGCTCCTGGCTTCGGTTCGGCGCAGCACCATCTGTTGCACTCACTTGGGGAGTGAATCATCACACGAAAGATCTTTCTCTCTGTCTCTCCTCCTCTCTGGATATCTGACTTTCCAATGAAAATAAATCTTTAAAAAAGTAAAAATAAATAACTAAAATAAATTCTAAAAATAAAGAAGCGTGCTATTTTTTCTTTTCTTGCAGAGATAAACGCAGGACTGGTGAAAGCAGCCTTCCTCATTGCTGCCTGCTCGGCTAGATCGTCTGCCAGCTGACTGGCACCGTGCCTGTCAGTTGGCTGTAAATGCATGTGAGCGTCAGCCTGTCTGCCTCGGACCACAAACCATCAAAAGGCAAGAGGCAGAGTTGGGCAAGTCTCTGTGTGAATCATTTACTATGACACTATGACACAGCGCCACTCGCGGCTAAGGGGTTTAATAGACACGTTCTTTATGCTCATTGGGATGAAACTTGGCTCCGTTTACTGTCTCTGTAAAATCTTTCAAATAAAAATAACTAAATCTTTGCAACTTTTACTTACTCGAGAGAGTTACAGAGAGGGGATGGAGAGACAGAGATCTTCCAGCCACTGGTTCACTTTCCAAATGTCTGTGATGGCCAGAGATGAGCCTGGCTGAGACTGCGGTCCACGAGCCTCCTCTGGGTGTCCCATATAGGTGCATGGGCCCAAGGTCATGCGCCAGCCTCTGCTGCCTTCCTAAGCCACCAAGAGGGAGATGGATTGAAAGTGGAGCAGCTGAGCAGCACGGGCAGAGAATTAGCCTGTTTGCCACTGTGTTGGCCCCAGGTTTTAAAAAGTGTTCATTTGCTTATTTTTGTTTGACTTGAAAGGCTTGAAGAAGTAAAGAGGACTCCCATCTGCTGCTTTGCTCTTCAGATGCCCACCAGAGCCATAGCTGGGCCGGGTCAAAGCCAGGAGCCAGATGCTCCACCAGAGCCATAGCTGGGCCGGGTTAAAGCCAGGAGCCAGATGCTCCACCAGAGCCATAGCTGGGCCGAGTCAAAGCCAGGAGCCAGATGCCCACCAGAGCCATAGCTGGGCCGGGTCAAAGCCAGGAGCCAAATGCTCCACCAGCACTCCCATGCGGCTGGCAGGGTGCACCTGCGTACCTGAGCCTTCCCCTACCTCCTCTCAGGGTTGGCATTGGCAGGAAGTGGGAGTTAGCCCAAGGCTCCCTGGTGTGGGAGGTGGCTACGTTAGCTAGCACCGTAACTGCAGGCCTCAACATCTGCTCCAGTTTCCATGTTGTCAACTAGTCCAAAATCCTTTTTGTATTACATATGGAATAAATGTAAAATGCCCTTTCTCAGTTTTCCTAAACCATGTGTAACTCCTTGGCATGGATTTGTGGTAGTTTGGGGGTATTTCTGAGTTTGTCTGGGCATAATTCTGCAAAGTGGTGTCAAACAGTCACCAGACAGTCTCAGCCTTTGAAGCCTGGATTGACTTTGAACTTGGCATTAAAAAAAAAAAAAGTAAAATCTTCCCAACCTGCCACTAATACAGCATGAGCCTGAGAACCGAGAGTTGGCCTCTGGTGCCGTTTGTGCCCGCAGGCAGGTGCACCATCCTGAGCACAGCGGCCTCTGGGGAGGGGCATGCGGGCAATAACCTTGAAGACTCCTGCCAGCTCCCAATGCTGAAATTCGGCAACAAGTATTGATGAATTCACCGGATGATGCAGAATTTCTAGCTTGTGCTAAAACTGTTAGATCGTCCTATGTCACCCTACGAGACAACCAGGAAAGACATGGGGCAGTGGCTGATTTAGAAAGATTCGCTCTGATTACGATGTCTGTTTTGGCAGGCATTCATACTGAGTGCACCGAACCCAGTGTCTGCTGCAAGTAAGAAAGCACGAACTATCTCTTACAGCCTAGGCAGAGAGGCTGGGCTGACTTTCCAATAAAAATAAATAAATCTTTAAAAAAAAAATTTTTTTTAAGGCATTGTCATCATTTGACAACAGTGTGGGCAACATGGCCATTTTCCATAGGATCGATCCTAGCCAAATCCTGCTTGTTCATCCCTATTTCTAAGTGCCAATCCATGGGCCTTCTGCCCAAAGCATGTGGGCTATGAGGGCATGGACTGCCCAAAGCATGTGGGCTATGAGGGCATGGACTGCCCAAAGCATGTGGGCTATG